ACAGTATTGGTGCTTTGAGTGTGATGGTTATTCATATACAATGTCTAACAAAGGGATGATTTTGGTTTATAAAGGGCTTCAAAGGTCTTATTACAATTTGATAAGCATTGATATTTCAAGTAACAAAATCTCTGGAGAGATTCCACAAGTCTTGGGAGACTTGTATGGTCTTGTTTCTCTCAACTTGTCCAACAACATGCTTTCTGGAAGCATTCCATCCTCTTTAGGGAAGCTTTCACACCTTGAATCGTTAGACCTTTCTTTGAACAGTTTGTCAGGGAAAATTCTCCAACAACTAACACAACTCACCTTTCTATCATTCTTGAATGTTTCCTTTAACAATCTCTCAGGTCCTATACCACAAAACAAACAGTTTTCAACATTTCGAGAGAATTCATTTGAAGGAAATCAAGGACTATGTGAGGATCAGCTATTGAAGAAATGTGAGGAGGATCATTCAAGGTCAGAGTCAAACATTGACGGTGATCAAGACTTAGGATCTTTTCTTGAATTTGATTGAAAAGTAGGTTTGATTGGTTACGGGGGAGGACTTGTTGTGGGAGTGACATTGGGAAGCACTTACAGTCCTGCAATAATAGCATTTCTCAAGAAGTTGAGTATATTGTGTCAGAAATAAGAATTTGGTCTTGCGGACTCTTCTTGCCTTTGTACTTTTACGCTCTTTATTCGTTCTAGTTTCCATTTTAGTTATTTGCATTTGACTTTTTGAGTGTGCTTTGTACTCTTTAATGTTATGTTTGAATTCATACAAAGAATGAACTGAATGAAATAAATTAAAATGGCGAATATTTAAAGATTTTAATATGCATGTCTCTAACTTGTATTGAATAACTTAGGCAATTTTAGACTCAAGCCCTATTACTTAAAGTCTTGCTCTTGAAAATAGTCTTGGTCCTGATATATGCAATATGATTTTCTGAGTGAATGCATAAGATTAACTTATTTAAATTTCTCAACTTCTCCAATTGCATGATACTTCACCTTAATATGTATTTGTAGGCAAGTTTATTTGTCAAAAAATTATAAAGAATTTTAAAATAAATTTTTGAAATATCATTTTATAAAAATTGTTTTTAAGTATAAATAATATCTTAATTTAATTGTTTGAACTTAAGATACATAGAATTTAATAAAATAAAGATTCAAGTAATTAAAAGAAAATAAAACAACACAACATATGATAATAAACTAGTCGAGATGAATTCTTGTGCTAAAGATTTTACCTTTACACTTCTTTATATTTACTTTTAGATTAATTTCAATTTCAATTTTCTTATGATTGTCAATCACTTGTATACTAAATTTATTAACACCTAATGATCATGTAACGTTAAAAGTCTTTTCCTAAAGTCATTACTTCTAAGGGTCATGTAAGATAAAAGAAAGAGAAAATATAAAGAGTTTATGAGCTATCAATTTAATAACGATTGAAAGAGAAGAACTAGGTCGGGTCCACCTAAAGTTTTGTCTCATCTTATCTTATAAATCCATTAACTATAACCAATATAGTCGCCTACAATATAATTCATTATGGTATGTTTGAGAGTTGTCAATTTTAAACATACAAATATAGTGCAATAGGATAAATATCAATTAAGAAATGAAATTTAAATTATTATCAAGCGTAAAGTTCACATAAAGTTATGCAAAAGATCCACTGTAGTCTTAACTATGAATTTAGCTAGACATAATAAAATAAACAATAAAAATAATTGTAAAGAAACTCATAATTATTCAAAGAGTAGAAAAATTAGGGGCTTGCAAAGAGATATCTGAGAAAAAATTTTGTTTTCTTCAAGATAGTAGATCCTTGGCTCAAATCTCTCTAAAAAGACACATAATGTTAGATTTATTTTCAAAAAAAAAACTTAGTATTTAAAAATAAGTTATAATACAAATTTGTACTACAATTTAATTTTTAAAAACTAAAAATTATTTTTAAATATAAATCAAACATGGACTAAGACTTTCTCCACAACTTTTCAATAATTTATTTCTTCACCTAATATTCTGATTTGTATAATCACCTTAGAGAATTTATCATAAAACTCCTTCGCTATTTTGCTTCAAACTATCTTCTTAAATTCAATACCTTCATCCTTCTTGTTCTTTCACTACGTTGGAACTCTTCCTTGAATTAGTCTTAAGTCTCTTTTGTAGTTTCAAGATTCAGAAAGAATCTTGACATGTAGTGCTGCTTGTATGATGACAAGTACTTTGCCCTCTTTAGCTACTTTTTCACTGTAAAATCTTATCTGAACTATCCTTGAGTTGTTTGATAAAGAAGTTGGATTGCTTCCTTCTTGCACCACATCCCACAGATTTTGAGCCTTCAAATAAGTTCTCATTTTTGCAGGCCCACAAATCATAGTTTTCTACCACAAATGTTGGAGGTGGAGACAAGGAGTTGTTGTTGGATGCTATTTTGGTGGGTAGTTTTTTTGTGAATAGGTTTCCTTGACAGACCTTAAAGATCAATGAAGCTCTTGATACCATGTAAGAAAAACAGAACTAGAGGAAATGAAGAAAAAATAAAACACCCAACTTTTGGGGTAGTTCTTTTCTTTCTTTTTTTTCATTCATACACTGTTGCATTCATGTACAGTTCTCTTGGTAGACGAAATACAACATTACAAGCAAAATGGAATGTACATCATTTACTTTGCAACCCAATCTTCAGATTTTGGGTTATCACCCTATTTTACCTATGAGACTAAACAAGTTACTAAACCAAGAAAATATAAAAGTATCGTTTCTAACTGATTTCACATCCTAAAATATCAAGAATCTAACAAAAGCAATGCTTTGAAGGTGATTGACTTGAGCAATAACAATCTGCACAGCATTGGTCAACTGTGGAATGCTAGAGTATCTTGACAAGCCATAACCATATCAATGATTCATTTCCATTTTGGCTAGGAGCTTTACCTGAGTTGAAGGTTATGGCTTTGCGAAATAATAAATTTTATGGAGCCATAAGGTGCTCCATGAACAGGAGGTGCATTTCCCAAGCTTCGCATCATTGATCTTTCTCACAATGAGTTCTCAGGAAATTCGCCTTCAGAAATGATCAAGAATTGGAAATCAATGAAAGCTTCCAACAGCTGTCAATTACAGTACGATCAATGGTATCTTTGGTATGAGCAGAAGGGACAATATTGGACGGAATTCGATAGTTACTCATTCACAATGTCTAACAAAGGGGCCATGTCGCCATGATGATCTATACAAAGCTTCAACAGTTTTTCACCAAGATAATAACCATTGATATTTCAGTAACAGAATCTCTGGAGAGATTCAGAAATCATGGGACATTTGAAGGGTCTTGTTTTGCTCAACTTGTCCATAACATCTTTACTGGCAGCGTTCCATCCTCATTACGGAAGCTTTCAAACCTTGAAGCATTGAACTTTTCTTTCAACAATTTGTCAGGGAAGATTCACCAACAACTAACACAACTCACCTTTCTGTCATTCTTTAATTTTTCCTTTAACAATCTCTCAGGTCCTATACCACAAAATAAGCAGTTTTCAACATTCCAAGACAATTCATTTGTGGGAAACCAAAGACTTTGTGGGAATCAGTTGTTGAAGAAATGTGAGGATCATGCAAGGCATTCATTAACCCATCTTCTGCCTTTCTTGGTGATCAAGATTCAGGACCTTTATTTATATTTGACTGGAAAGTAGCAGTGATTGGGTATGCAGGTGGACTTGTTATGAGAGTACCATTAGGATGGACATTCAGTCCAGAGAAACTTGCATGGCTTAAAAGGGTCTGGTGAGTAGAAAACGAGAGATTGGACTTGTGGAGAAATTGTCTTTGTGGTTTTCATTGTTTTCCTTTTCCTTTCGGCTATTGTAATTGCAATTAATAAGAGTGCTTTTTTTTGTCAAAAAAAAAGTGTTTTATGCAGTATAGTAGTTGTCTTCTTTTCTTATTTGCTCCCATGGTTACATTATATTTGTACCTGTATTAAATTATGCTAAATAATCTATATCAAATGGAAATATGCATGATCTGTTTGCTTTATATAATGCAATTCTTTAACTAGAAGACTACGATATTGAAATTCTTTTTTTCCTCCGTAGTATCGCATGTAGTATGCTCTAATTCTCTGTTGAAGTATAGTGATAACTCAATACATAAGGTAACAGCAAGAGTTCAAGTAAGTGAGTAAAGAAAATAATGTAAAAGGCAGTAGGCTTGAATAAGCTGAATAGCACTCTGTCAATTATATATCCTTCTTCAATATTAAAGCCACTTGTAACATCTACTGCCACAAATGTACTGTACGAAGTTCGATTTAACAATATCTATAGGAAAAGTTTAATTTTCAGCTTCTAAATTGAATAGCCAATCAAAAGATAGGCATGCTTAAGTTACACAAATTAAAAGCATATATATTATTCATGTATATCTCTGTTACAAAATTTACAAACATAAAAGCCAATTCATGACTTAGCATAACAGAACACATATACTTGCACCAAAATTGTCTGGCAGGCTAAATTACAGCTTATTAGAGATTTGCACGTGATTATTGACAATTACAACTATAATTATAAATCACCGAAAACCACAACTAATAAGAAGAAATTAATCAAGTGGAGAGTAGAGGGAATAAATCACCAAAAACATACATCTCAATTGTGATTGCCGCAGCTAAATAAGAAAATACATGATTATGAGTTGCATCAACCACTATTGGCCCGCATCAACCTTCAACCACCCCAATACAACAACTGAAACCACAACTTCAAACCATTTTTTTTAAAAATATATCATGAAGGAATTGCTTTCTGTTAAACAGGATCGTGTTAACTATGGTATCCATGTACATAATCAAGGCTGTTCTTTTAACAAGTATAGTTATTCTCTTGTCCTTGAAAATAACTGAGATCAAGACAAATTTTAAAAAATAAGCCCTCTATAGTAGTTCACACTACGGTTACAAAATCTACACATTAGATCTATGTTCAAAATATTGAGTGCAGGTCTCTTTCTTCCAATTCCAAGTTGTATCTATTAGGATCGCAGACAAATGGGATATCACCAATGCTATCATAGAATATTCCACCCAGATCATCATCACTAGCTAGTTGTGCCTGTTGATCCTTTGTGACTTCTCCATCAGCTTCATCTCCGCTGACTCCGCCTACATTTGAATTCTTTTCAACCAATTCTCTAAACAACGAAGAGCGGAGAAGAAGGCCAAGAGCAGTGGGAGAAGATGACTTATTGCTCGAGAATTGGTAGGCGTTGTTTCCAAAGTTTTCTTGCTTTACAGGGGAATTTATGGTATCTGGACTGAAAAAACTGGTGTGAAGGGTCAAAGATTTTGACTCTTCTATTGGAGCATAGTTAGATGGGGATGCAACTGTTTGAGATTCTAGTGCTGCCTGTGATTCAAGTTTTGTTTCTGTGGTGCTTGTTCCTGCAGGCTTTAACCATTTGATGTAAGTGCTCAAATCAAAGTTTGTTACAGCATGAATCCCTCTGTACTCAATGGCTGCTATGTCATAAGCACGTGCAGCTTCCTCTTGGGTGCCTATGTTGGTCAACAAGATATGTTATTCACAGATTAATGATTGAATGAAAGAAGGATGACTATATCTTTGTTTTGCTTGTGTTTTTGTGATTTCATGTTTTAGTCTTTTTGGTGTCCCACCATGATGGGTTGTGCAGGGTTTATGTAACTTACTGTAGGTGCCAAGATAGAGATATTTGTTTCCAAAAACCCTTCCTATCCTTGCTTCCCATCTACCATTGTGGTGGTGCCTGAAAAATGTTCACCAAGCATTAGTGACTCATCTTCATAGATAAGCAACAATTCAAAAGCTTATAGTGTAGTATTCATCAGGAATATCACCTTGCAACACCCCTATACTTTGACACCCCTCTTGAAAAGCCACTGCTCTTTCTGTAAAATCAATTTCAAAGTAGAAAAGTCATATATATATATATATATATATATATAAACCTATATTGTGAAGTTATATGTACAACTTTATCTACTGCAAACACTGCTATTACTATCTCTTATAAGGGTAAAAACCTACAGTACTTCCCTGCACCTGGAGTGAAGGGAGGTACCTGCAATATTAATAATTATCAAGGTCCATGTGAAAGAAATGACAAGTATTTACCTCCTTAAAGTGGCCAAGTACTCCTCTTTGGTCATAGTCTGCATTATTTCTACCTCTTTCTCATAATCTGATATCTGTTTGAAGTTTAGGAGTATTAGATAAATCATCTGCAGCTAAGCAAAGAAATAGAATTGTTACTATTTCATAGGTAATTACTATCATACCGGAAAATTGGTGAAAGTGGATGTTCCCCAATATTTAAGTGCAGCTAAATCATATGCTCTGGCAGCAGATTCTTCCTCATCATAAGCCCCTATGATATTTGAAAGATTACTCGTCATCTTATAATTGACTAACAAAGTGATTAAACCAAAATATTGGGTTTCATAACTAAGCTAACTACTCACCAAGGTAAACTGCTAGTCCCAATGTCCAATTTCAGAACACGTTCCAAAAGGAAAGGATAAACATCAAAAGATGTTAGTGTGTTACAAGGAGGATCAAATGAACAAGAAAAAGGGATAACCATCACTTTAGTCCTCTAAAATTACAAGAATCTAGTCCTTTGAAAATTTGAGTTACCAAAATTAGTCTTTTAAAAAAATTTAAACCATCATAAAAATTTAAATCGTCACTGTATTAGTCTTTCAAAGATTTCATCACCAAATCAATCATTATGGAGGGCTAAAGCCGTGGCAAAAAAATCTTTAAAGAAATTAATTGCGACAAATTAAATATGATTATAAAATTTTAAATCTTTGAAGAAATAAATAGTAACAAAAATTTTAGAAAACTAATGTGATAATTATTTAAATTTGAGGGCTTAATTTCTTAGTATAATTTTAAAAAAATTAATGCTGTAGTACTAATAATTTAGAAAACCAAATGTAGACAACCTCCACTTTAGTCCTTCAAAATAACAAGAATCAACACATTAACTCTTTATAAATTTGGATTATCAAAATTAGTCTTTCAAATATTTAAATCGTTACTTCCAAAATGTTATCACCAAATTAACCCATATAAAATATTAAAGTGGCAAAAGAAACCATCTTTGAATAAATAAATTTGATATATAACAAATCAAATCTCTTTTAAGAATAATATGGTAATATTTTCAATATTTTAGAACTAATTTAGTAAGAAATTAAATCTTTAAAAAAAACTAATTTAGTAACAAAAATCGTTGAAATATTAACATGATAATGATCACAACATTTTAAAAGATTAACGTAGTGAACCAGATTGACAGCTTTCTCATAAGAAAAAGTTAGCAAAATGGAACTCTACCTTGCTTTCCTTTCTTCTTTTGTGTTATGTTCCAAGAGAGCTTGTCCCACAAGTGAGCTTCAAATCGACCCGTCCATCTATGTCTGTTTTAGATTTCAATATGGATTAGCAAATTTAACATAATTAAGATTATAAGTAGTTCATAATGCTCAAGGTCGATTTGAAACTATACAACAAGGAAATTCCTTCATGTATGACCTGCTAACACCACGAAATTTTGAGCTTCTTTTTGTAGTGTTGATTGTAGAATTTTCACCAACTTGTGGCAGCTGCTGCTGATGATTATGATCACCACTATTTTCTGCAGCAGCCTCTCTTCGTCTTCTCTTGACACACCTTGCTACTTGGAACTCACCTTCTGCCATGGACATTCTACTCTTTCCAAGATTCACTTCGTTCTCTTTCATCGTTGCCATTTCTTGTGTTGTGATATTATAACTGTTATGTACACTTCTTATGCTTCTCAACTTTGCTTAACCTGATGCAATGTGTGTGAGGCATGTATTGTTCTTATAATTTGAATGCTTGATTTGGCCTTATTATGTTTTTGTATTTTTTGTTACCTACAAATTTGATGTTACAAACAAGGAGGACGATAATTTCGGGGAAATTAAAGAACAGCCATGTGTTGTCCTATTGCCAGCTCAAAGTCCAAGAGTTTTGAATTTGCTTCTTTAGAATTCTAACCCTCCATACCCATATAATAAGCACTCCTCTCCCAAAGTGATAGTGATGTTCCAAATTTCAAATGCACATATACCCACACTTTCATTGATATTAGGACTCTTCTATGAACCAACACATTGACCAACTATAATAAAAAAGTGTGTGCACATAGTTTATTGTCAACCCTATGTGATTGGTTATATATACCATTCGCTTTTATTGTACCACGATAAATGCATATATAGTAAATCAATACTGTATCTTCAAGCTAACAACAATCAGAGTTAACTGAAAATTTTTCTTCTTTTTTTACCAGGGTTGCCAAATAGTAAAAGGTTTAGGTGAATTGAAATTATTACATTATGTTTTTTATTGTTGTTTAATTTATACCGTGAATCTCACTTAATAAAATAAGCCTTGATTATTCTCAAAATCCTAATTTATTATGAAATGCAGTAATAATGGTAAAAATAAGCACCTAATTGAGATGGTTGTGAATAGTAATAACCAATTAAATTACCCGTTCCCTTACTTTCACTGATGCGTGTTGGGGAATTCGTTTTCAGATTATTAGTTTTTTCATAATGCTAGGAAGATGAGCAATAGAATAACCAATCAACTCTCTAAAATAAGTTAATTTAAAACAATAACAATGCTTTTTAAAACAAAAATAATTACTTTTTGTTTTAAAAAACAAGTTTGACTCATGGTTGACACGATAGATCCAGAATGTTCTCTGAGGCAATTAAAAAAAAAAACGACATAAATTGAAAGGTTAATGCTTATGAGCAAAATAGTGTTTTCCTTGGATTCATCACTGTCCAGTTGGAATCTTTCTTTGGGGCGGGATAGAATTTGCTTACCCCACGTTATCTAAAATTTACGGTGTTTCCAATGCCAGAAAGCTCATAATATTCATTCAACTTGTCGATATACTATTTATTACGTTTAATATTTTACACAAATTTGTAAATAATTAATACTTTAAGTTTTAGAAAAAATGTTATTGAATTTTATTATACTTTCTTTATTATATTAATTACTTCACTTATTTATTATTTTATATTAATTAATTATTTATTTTATGAAATGACTATAAAAAGTGAATTAAACAAAAATGCTTAAGTGTCAAAGAAAACAATTAAAAGAGTGATAATGTAATATTAAATTATTTAATAATTTTGATAATTTATTAAAGGTTAAATTTATTAAATATTATAACTTACATTATTAAGTATAAAATTTATTATATTGATAATATATTTAATTTAAATTCGATTTATTAAGAGCTGAAAACTTGACATTTCTATAAATGTCTTTTATTTGCATTTGCTAATAAGACGGACTGGTTTATTAAGTAAGTATATAAAAGCAAATTGACCTTTCAACTCATGCTTTAAGACATGGATTTTAGTGTATGAAATAAAAAAAAAAAAAAATTAACTGTGTATAGTAATATTTACTGGATGTGACAACATGTCATTGGCCTATTTTTGAAAGAGTTTATGGATCGTTTGTAATTTGGTGGTTAATTCCCAGACAGCCAACTTGTCAAATTAATGTTTAACTAGCTTTACATTATTAATTTCATATTTAACATGTCAGTGGATGAAATTGGGTACTAATGATATTCTTCTTCATTTCCTAAAGAAATACAATTATTATTTATTTAAATTTTTAAAATTTTTTAAACATCTTTAATATAAGTTTTTTTATGAAATTTTAAAATATTTATTATATTTATCCTTTTTAAATATTTAATTTTTTAATAACAAACATCAGAATAAAGTTTGGGAATAAATTTAAAATGTTGCAATTAAAGACTATTTTCTTAATTTGTTTTATTTAGTTAAATGATTTTCTAACACGTGTTAAATGACACGCAATAAAAAGTGCTTCTTTTCTAATTTCTTTATAAGAAACTTTCAACTAAATAACACAAATTAATAAAAATAGTTAAATTTTAATTTTCTTAATTTTAAAAATATTATTAATAGTTTTACTTTTAATATCATTAAACTGAATTAATTTCACTATCAAAATTCACTTTTGGTAATTTTAATTTATATTTTCACCAACTGTATTTATTAGAGACAAATAAAAATAATAATAAATACTTCATAAAAATTATGAAGTATTTTATAAAAACTACTGCTAAAATTTTTTACAACATCCCATATGAAATGAAAAAAAAAACTACAGAAAAAAAAATACATAGTCCCTCTACATAGATTGAGAAGTTTATAGCTGATGTATATAATATCACATTTTGACTTAAAAAAACTACAGAAAATAATACATACCTTTAATCATGTTATTTATTAATTCTTCATTAAAATTTTAAGAGAGATTGAGAGTGAATGCAAAAGAGAAGAAAAAACAGGTGAGAATATGAAGTGATCAGTTAAATTAATAATTTTTTTGGGCAAGTTAAATTAAAATTAAAATGCATTTGTAATCAGTAAATAAGGGTACAAGTAAAAATAAATAAATCTTAAAAATATAAAATAATTTTTTTTTAAAAAAACTAAAAAGCAAAAATAACAAATGATTTTCATATGTCCAAAAATACATGAAAAGAATTTGTGTTAAAATCATAAAATATTATATAATACAAAGTATTAATAACATTTAATATTATTTTTAATAAAAAATATATTTATGAATTTTTTATTATGTACTATTAGACACATGTTTAAAAAAATCAAATAACAATGTAAGGAATGGAGTGAACGGTATATTTTTATTTAAAATTAAAAAAATATCACAAAATTTAATTCATTGATAAAATCAATTGTTATAATTTTTAATAAATTTTATTATATTTATTAATTGTTATTATATATTCTTAGACATATTAAAAAAATAATTTTGTCAATCTTAACTCTTAAAACAGAGTTTAAATACTTTAAAATAATAAAGTTATCAATATTGACATAATAAAGTTTGTCATCTTGTGTTTTAATAAAAATTTATTATCAATATTTATGTAAATTTAATCTTAAAAATTAAATTTAATAAAGTTATTAAAAAACTTTATAAATAAATAAATAAAAAGATGGACAGATTCCATTCCACTTAACGTGGAGTGTTACTTTGTTCGCAAACATTTAGTACCAAAATTCTCTAAATCGCATGTCAACATTTTATTAAACAAATATAAAACTTAAAAAAAGTAAGGAATGATGAAAATCAAGAATGAAGTTGTATTCGCTTGTCGTCATTAATTCGTGGGTATAATCTCGTCCTACCACTGAGCATTTCATTCGTTAACATATTTTTAATTAAAAATAAAGTTTTATTTTAATATTTATATAGTAAAATGTAATATTGAATATCCGTACATATTGTTTATATAAAATTTAATTATAATTAAGCAACATTATAAAAAAATTTACAGTATTACGCTTAAATTTAATTCTAATAAAGAGAGGAAGATGAGTGAAAATACAAACAGAAAAATGTTATTCAATCGAGTTGTAATTTTTGTTTTTCAATTCCTATCCCATCTTATTTCTTCATGACAAGCACCAATGCACCCCATCTACATTTTTCCCCTAAGCAAAAAGAAATAATTGCTACAACATCGTTGAAGACATCCTCTAAACCATGAGAACATACCAAACATCCTAGAGGATTTCCCTATATTCATTATCAAGTTATGTTGTTTCCTTTATGAGTAAATATATATATATATGAGAAAGCAAAAAAAAAGTTCCTAGCAAGGCCTACCTACCCTGCAATTGAGGGCACCAGCATACTTTGTTAGCCTACTGGCTTGAGATCCAGGTCTTGGTTTCATTAAGAACCCTTTGTTGAATGGTAATTTACCAATAGGTGTTCCGGACTCGATAAACTTTGCTCCATTCATGAACAAGTCATTATCTGATCTCCATTGCCATTTTCCCCACACTTCAGGTCCTGCATAGTCCCTGTGTGTGACTAACTTGGCAGCATCATTGTTGGGTGCAATGAAACGATTTCCTTGACTAAGAATTGTTGGTCCTGAGCTTCCACCAATTGCATACATCTGCCAGTGAGTGTAGTCATTGTTCAACACATGGAAGAAGCCCCATCTGCATCTGGGCATTCTCTGGATCAGTCCCTGCCCAAAATGGTTGAATGCCACTGTAATCTGCATAATCTTGTCAGGATCGTATGTATCGCTAGCTCCAAACAGCATCACCTGTATACACATTTATTCACCAAATTAGTGTTCATATATTTATTAAGGGACATCATTAATACAGTTTTGAATATATTTTTCGACTGTTGATTGAGATTCATAAAATGATGTTAGTCTCAAAGTAATAAATTTTAATTAACAATAAAAAACGTTACTACTGCTCTTTAATATAACAAAATTTAAATAATTGTTCTACTTTCAAAATTAATATTTTATATCTTGATAAAATAACAATATTTTCTTAGATAAAATGTTAATCTGAATTGAAAAAGCAATATGAGTAATATTATATTGTACTTAAGTTTTGTCTAAATAAATATTGTATTAACCTGTGAATTATTGGGCAAAACAAAGGGTAAATGTGAAAGGGAGAATATAAACAAATTACGTCGTTATGTTTGGTCAAGTGGCAATTAGAGATGGTGATAGCAGTAGAACCCTGGATAACGTCGACAAGACCATCGGCAGAATCAGAGAGGGAAATGTGATCAATCCAAATGTTGGAAGAACCAAAAATGGAAATGGCATCTCCATCACTCCTTGTTCTTAGTCCAATGTGGTTCCAAGAGTCCCTAATAATACCTCCATCCAAAGACTTGATATTTTTAATGCGAATGCCATGAATAATGACATTATTAACAAATTGCAAGGTAATGCCACCACCATCCTTAATTATAACATTGGCACCACGACCATCAATAGTCTTGTGGGATGACACCATCAATTCCTGCTTCAATTTAATGACCATGCTATGTGCAAATATGATCCACAATGGTCCCTCTCGGGTGGCACCATACCTAAGAGTCCCAGGTTTAGGGTTAATCACATCTTCATCGGAGTTATCGGTGACAACATAGATTTGCCCACCGAATCCTCCGGTGGCCCTTCTTCCAAAACCTTTGCCACATTTAGCTAATTTAAAGCGGTTTTTGGCCCAGTTTTTCCTACACCTCCAACAACGATCAATTGGGTTTGTGGCTATGCATTTTCCCTTGAATTTTTCCGATAGTTCCCTCCTGTTGCTGTTTGATGCCTCCTCCAATGCCCTGCATCAATAAAAGATGTTTTTGAGAATCGCAGTCCCTAGTGCAATAAAAGAAATTTCATGCACACAAAGTATTAGAATCTTGCAATCTAACTAATAATCAAATCTAGAAAAGAGTTAATAATGTTAATTCAGTACATGTTAACGTGTATATTGAGCTCGGTTGTAACATTTTCAGGGTTGGGCACGAAGGACTGGAGAGCGATTTCACGGGCCGAATTAGCTTGTGTTTTCAGAAAGTCGTCATACTCAGCAATGCCAGCCTCAAGGCATGGAATAGTAATGGCAAAAGCAACCAAGAAGATAAAGCCAACCTTACTTGCACTTACTGCCATTATTTTTCCGATGTTTATTGTTTTGCTTTTTTCTTTTTTTTTTGTATGATTTTGCTGGTTTTGCTTGAGATTGAAAGTCCTTCTTTTGGTTTTTCTTGGTTTTAGAAGGTAAGGATGGCCAAGGTCTTGGGACTAATGAACCTTTAAGGACACAAAAGGGGAGACCTTAGCAAGCCAATACCTAAAAAACCCAAGGTAAAATTTAGGCCCGCAGCACAGTGCTTGGTGTGGGTTATTTAGGAAGAAGCAAAATGTGCGTATGCTTAAATAATGATGGCAATCCTTGAAGGCTGAAAATTCTATTTCTAAATTTAGGAGTGACAAGTATTTGAAACCCAACTCATCTAAACTACTATTACTAAAATAGAAGTTAGGAGCGAATAGAGTGGATAACCGTTCCATTTGTAGGCCTTTTTACTTTCATTCAGACTTGGTTAAGATAAGTACTGTTTCAGGCTAAGCTACCAATTTGGGTGGAAAAGGTAACGCGTCCACTTAGGCAACACCAGCTCATTACTATCAACTTGTGAATAATTTCTTTGCTTCTATAATGTCCAAGTGAATACACCTATTTACTCGTCACTGATTTCTTTGCTTTAATATTGTCCAAAGTGAATAGCAATTTCTCAATTTGCACAAGTTTGGCCATACATTTAGTTTTACTTTCTCAACATGGATCTATAAAAATTCGCTAAATTAATTTTATATAAAAAATTTTGTTATTTTCTACATTTTCATTTAAATAAATCTATTTCGTTTAAACAAAAATAAAACTGGATATTCAATTTCCGCTAAAACTCGAGAGAATCCAAATCCATTATGTATGTTGGTTTATAAATGTATTTTATTAAGATTTTTTTTCTTTTTCTTTATTATATTGCGAATTATATTTGTTTCAAACACTCGCTTAGTATATATATTTACAAATTGTTCTAAGTATAAATGTATGTTCTTTTTGTCTTTTTGATGTGTATTATTTTCTAGTTTCTTCTTATCAAACTTAGAATATATATGTGTATCTATTAATTTTAAAAATTTACATTCAATAAAAAAATAAATTATTAATAAAAAGTTAAACATGCAAACCATATAAATTTTATGAAGTTATGCTTCAAATCATTAGAAAGAAGGAAATAATCTCAATCAATTTTAATTATAAGTTTAGAATTCATTATTAGAAAAATATATTTGAGGTGCTTTAAAAATCAATTATATTTGCGGAATATTAAAAATAAATTGAATTGAATTTATATTAATGGTTTAATTTAATCTATATATATTTGTTTCATGCATACTTTCCTTAACCTTCATGTTTCAGACCTTTTAAAATTTAATTTTAAATTATTTATTTATTTTAAATTTTAAAAAAGTATAAAAAGATCTTATTTTAATACATATTAATTTTAAGCTTAAATAAGATTTTTATCTTTTAAACATTCATAATTTTTTATTTGATCTCTCGTTTTATTTTTTTTAAACAAGTTTCAAAAATTATTTTCTTTTCCATATAGTTCATCTATTATTAATTTATTACCTCTTTTTAATATTTACCTATGTACAATCTAATTACTTAACTCATATAACATAACATAAAATAATGAGTGAATAATAATGTGACATGTACACTTTTGTTCTGTTCATATTTCTAAGTCTCAATTTTAAAATTTATAATTTTTAATATAAAATTTCATAAAAAATATGATATTATTAATTATGCATCTCATTCATATTATGATTCATTGAAAACGATGCGAAATAACTTGAATGTATAATAATAAAGTAAGTTAACAAATTACTAATAGAGAGATCAAATAAAATGAATAATAATTTATGGGTAACTAAATTTAAAAAAGAATTAAATGAGAAAATTATGAAATGATTTAGAAACTAAAATATTCTTTAAATATTAATATAAAATATAAAAAATATTCATATAATATTAATTAATTACTATTTTCATTATTTTGTAAACTTTATTTATATTTAATTCTTTCACATATAAAATTGATTTTATCTTTTAAATTTTCCATGTTATAAAATAAATCAAAGTTATTAAATATTTATCTACCCAATACTAAAGTTCTTATATTAGGATTGTCATATAACTTTTAAAAGACTAAAAATTATAATTTGAAAGAATGTATAATTTGATTAAGTGACTAAATTTAATATGAAATATACCGTAAGATAAAACTAATATCAATGCATTGATTCAATCAATTTTAGTTTCATAGTTACTCGTGATTAGCGTACATGCACAAATGTTTTATATACACACACACACACACAATATTTAATAAAATTATTTAAAATATTAATTTTTTTAAAAATATTTTAATTTAACTCTATGAAAATAAATTTGTATGTATTAAAATAATAAAAACAATATATTAAGTTTTAAAAATTTAAAATAAATAAATAAATTTTAAAAATATTTAAATTTTATATAAAACAATAAAAAAAATTTGTTATTTTCTACATTTTTGCATAAATTTATCCATTTTATTTAAACAAGAATGAAATTGAATGTATAATTTTTGCTAAAATTAGAGAGAATCCAAATATATTATGGATGTTGGTTTATGAATGTGTTTTGTTAAGATTCTTTTTGTTTTCTTCGTCATATTGCGGATTATATTTTTTTGAAATACTGGTCAGCTTTGGTTTACTTGCTTACTCTTAACGTATCCACTTACAAATTGTTCTAAGTATAAATATATGTACTTTTTTTGTCTTTTTATCGTGTGTTACTTTCTAGTTCCTTCTCATCAAACTCAGAATATATATGTGTGTATCTATTAATTTTAAAAATTTATATTCAATAAAAAATTATTAGTAAAAAGTTAAACATGCGAACCATATAAATTTTGTGAAGTTATGCTTCAAATCATTACAATAAATTTAAAATATAATTTATTTTAAAATAATAAAAATAATATATTAAGTATTAATAATTTAATATAAATAAATATATTTTAAAAAATTTAAATTTTATGTAAAATAATAAAAAATTTATAAATATAAATATCGAGATCAATGAAAATTTTGAAAGTTTATGTTAAACAATAAGAAAAAAGTAAATAATAATTTTTCTCTATAAAATTTAAAATAAAACTAAATAAAGAACAAAATCATTACAATGAAGAAAAATGTATTTAAGGAATATAATAAATTTATTAAATACTTTACTTGTCAAATAAAATATTTTTGTGTATAATATAAAAGTTGATTAAAATATTATAATTATAATTTCTATTATTCTATGTATCATGAGTAAATATTGTCAAATGTAATCTATAAAATATTTTTTAATAGTCAGTGTTCTATTCTGCTCTATTACGTCAAAGCATTTTTTTTTCATATTTGAATATCAAATTTTCTACTAAGTTCATAAACTTTCACACACTAAATAACATAGCATGATCGTAATCACAACTAAGTAAGAATAATAGTCAGTGTTCCAATCATAACAAGAAACTTTTGTTCGAGACTACTTTCCCTAAACCTTGAAAAGAAAATTAAGAGTTACAAAAATATCTGTGTTAAAAGAGAGGGGGTGTCAAAAGTAATCCCTACTTTTGTTTGTAAATATGTTAATGATAACGATGAATAAGGAAGAAATAAAATATTAAAAGGTATGTCTGTTTGCAATTTTTAAAAAGACTTTAAAAAAAACTGAAAATACATGTATTTTTAATTTTTAACATTTTGTTGTTGTTATTCTGTGTTTTATGAATATTATTTATTTACTATTTTTATACATGTTCATTTTAATTTTATTTATTTGTAAATAAACTTGCTCAATCTTTTAAAAACTAAAAAAATAAAAATCAAGAAATATTTTTTAATTTATGCAAGATGTCTTGTAAATTTTTTTCTAATTAATATGCTTAGTTGTAATAGTTTAGTGACCTTGAGTTTTTTTTAAAAAAATATAAACATATTTTTTATGTTAAAGAGATTAATTTAGGTGAAACATAGTGTTAATCTTTTTTTTAATTAAAAAAATATGAGTTATGATAACTTGACGATCCTATAATTATTTTACAGTTTTATAAATATTTGATTTAGGTGGGATATTTTTTTAATCTTGTGATTTAACGAAGGGCATGAGCGTTGTGACAAGTTAATAATCCTAATGGTGAATAATGATTTTACCTTTTTATTTTAAAAAAAATTAATTAACACACACTCATCTTACAGAGAGCTATGTCACCTTAAGGTTTACACCAAATGATACATGGAATAGCGAAAACAAGTCAAAATTAAATTTTCATAATACTTTTGTCTTTGTTTATTTATGTTATTTCATTTTACTCGCTTTTTTTATATTTTAAAATGAGATTAAATAAATATTTTTAAAATTATCATAAATTTACACAATCAAGAAACTCATTTTAGGGTGGTACAGTATGTTTGTTGTAGTATTATGCTTTTATCCTTTTATATACATTAATCGAATCTTAAACCCAAATTTTTTTAAAATAAAAGTTTTTCTTTTATTTTTCATTTTTAATAAGAATAGTGACACCATTTTTAAAGCAAATTTTCTTTAAAAATTTTTTTTTCTTCTCTCCGTTGTAATCACAGTCGTGACAATAACTAAATTGCATACAACAATATTTTTGAGGCAAGAAAAAATAAAATATTATTTTTAATGACCAAAACATATATTTATTCATAAGAAAGAAGATAGTTATAGTTTAAGATTTATTAGTCAACCTTGCAGACATGTACAAACAAACCAATGTTCAGGAAAGAAAGAGATCATCATAAGACACAGGTGCTTTAATTCATCTTGCTTAAGTGTTTTGAATAAAGCTTTACATCTTTCAACTACATGAGTTTAACTTTTCTCCTGGCTTTTGATTTTCTCGGAGAGGTTATTTCAAATTTCTCCGAACGCCAATGGTTACAAGCGCAGTCAAAGCAAATTTCTTTTTGTTCTTCTAAAGCTTACATGTTGCTCAAGTCCTTACCAGTATAATATTAAAGAGGAATGTTAGTATTTCTTTTGATTATATTTTTTTAAAATAATTTTTATATGATTAGTTTATTTTTTAAAATTAAAGTAATATTTAAAAATTAACGAATTTATGAGATAAGTACTTAATTTTAAAAAAACTTAATTAATTAAAAATATATGCTAAAGGGTGTATTTACAATAGTACATTACAAACATTTTTCGCATCAAAGTTTTTGTGAGAATCACCACCCCAAATTCAACGAGCGAAAAAATCATACACGCGTTTGGAAATGAATTATTTGTGGTAAGAGATGATAACGATGGATAATCATTTCTTAAAAATTAAGATAAACTAATTAAACATGAACGCAGAATATTAAAATATTGTAATCTAACTAGTCATCATCACTAGAAAAGAGTTGATAATGTTAAGTACATGTTAACGTGTACACTGAGATCGGTTGTAATCTTTTCAGGGTTGGGCACGTAGGACTCGAGAGCGATTTCATGGGCCGTATTAGCTTGTGTTTTCAGAAAATCATCAAACTCACGAATGCCACCCTCAAGGCATGGAATAGTAATGGCAAAAACAACAAACATGATAAAGGTAACTTGCACTTAATGCCATTATTTTTTCAATGACTTTGTTTTTTATTTTACTTTTGGAGACTTTGCTGGTTTTGCTTGAAATTCAAAGACTCTTTTTTTACCTTGGCTAATAGAAGATAACGATGATCAAATAAGAACCAAGGCAAAATTTAGTTGACTGCATGGTGATTGGTTGGTGTGAGTTATTTTTGGAAGCAAAATGTACATATGCTAAAATTATGATGGCAATCCTTGAAGGCTGAAAACTATACTTCTAAATTTAGGAGCAAATGGAGTGTAACCATTCCATTTGTTGGGTATTTTAGTTTCATTAAGATTTGGTTAAAAAAAGTGTTTCAGATGGTTAAACTACAAAATCGGATTGAAATGGCAACGTGGCAAGACCCTCTCGTCACTGATTTTTTTGCTTCCGTATTAACTTGCCAACCCTGTTTTATTTGCTTAATTTTGATGTATACACTTGTCAAATGATTGTAAGTCTATATAACATTGTAAATGTATGTACTTTTTGTAACTCAACTTGCTCAAGTAGTGCACTTTGAATGAAGTTTTATATTTTGCAACTACACGAGTTTAATCTCTTGGCTAGTAATTTTCTTGGGGGTTATTCCCTCCCGCCACGTGAATATTATGTGACATTTTTAAATATTAAGTTATTTAACTAATAAGTAACATTTACCTATATATGTATATAATTCACGTGCCTTAATAATACATATTATTAATTGTCATTACAATTACAAATAATTTAACATATTTAAGAATTAAATTACACATAACACTAATTTCAAAAACTAGAAACAAATTATATTTTTAAGCTTTATATTAGTTAATCTTCCTTTCACACATACAAACAACCCAAAGATCGGAAAAGGAAAGATAAAAAAATCATCAAAACAAAAAAAAATGCATTAACTCAACTTGTCAAGTGTTCTTTAAATGAAGTTTTATATATTTTCAATTAAACTAGTTTAACTTTTCTTTTGATTTATAATTTTATCGGAGTTTATTTCTCCCCACCGACCAAAGATCTCCAAACACCAAAGGTTAAATGCAGTCAGAGCAAATTTCTCTTTGTTCTTCTAAAGCTTATGCATGCTGCTTATGTCCTAACCAGTATATATTCATTGGAATAATATATCTTCTCTTTTATTTTTAAAATTTTGTTAACGTTAACTTTTAAACTGAAGTTTTTATCAACAAAAAAGCATTCATCACATTGAAATATAAAATTATGATAAATATATACTTTCATTTTTAATTGAAAATTATTACTTTTAAATATTTAAAATTAATTATTAAATTTATATTTATTTATTTTTATTTTCATTAAGGAGAAAGAGAAGAAAACAAAACCCTGTATTGACGAATGCAGTGAGTTCTTTAGTATAGAATCACCGAGAAAAAGGGCTTTACTTAAAGAATGGACTAATGGCAATAACTAGTTAAGTAGATTGCTGGGAAAAAGACTAATTTTAGCATTAACAATGTAAGTGGTAGGGTTGGTCAAAAGCTTCCGCTACTGCAGCAACGACATGTTTATTATTAATTTAAAACTAACTTTAACTTTAGCAGAAAGAAGAACTGCTGTTTGACACCTTAGGAATTTATATAATAAACATTCTTTCCTTCAAACATCAGAACAGAAAGAGTCAAGATATATACCATACGTACTCCACGCTTCTTCCTCCATACAACAATATATGTTCATATATAATTTTACATGAAAATGTTAATCACACGTTATTTTTCTACTCGTATATGCATCTCTGGCGTCCGCTTAAATAAAAATAAAATCAGAATATAGATTCATAAATATACATTATATAAAATGTGTCCAGTTGTGATCATATGATAAAAACTGTTGTGATCATATGACATTATACAACTAAAAAAATTGTTCGTTTAAAATATTCATGTATATCGTCATACATTAAATGATAGCATAATATATATGATAGTGTAGAGAGTTTTAAAGCCAACATCAATGAAAGTCCTAAAGAATAAAAATATAATAGCATAAAAAATCTGGTTAATAACTGCTTTAAGAATTGTAGCCAAGTAATTAATAAATATTGTTTTCTTTAAAGTTATGTTAGAAGTATATTTATAATATTAACTTAATGTTATATATTTTTTTCATAAAAAATGTTCGCTTTTGTTAAAAAAGAAAATCTTAATTTATCAATGTTTCACATTTATAGTAGTTTTGGGGTAGTCAATACTAATCTTTTAGGGATTAAACATCATCTTTAGCCATGACTACTCCTAATCATACCGTGCATGGCTCTTGATTACTTTTATTCTGTTTTATGAGTTTTATTTTTATGGTTTATTATTTAAGTCAAATTTCTTTGGCAGCGCGCAGCCAATAATATTGTTTAATCTGAAACTTGTGGATGGTGTAGCTATCAAGCTTAGAAGCATTTTCTGTCGGAAACTTTGTGTGGACAATAAGTTTTCTTGTGTCTTACAAATGTCCTTTGGTCTTGGTTATGCTCAACCAAATCCTCAGTGAAGAATACAGCAAACTTGCTTTGTTGAAGGAAAATTTAATTGCTACCATTATATAGGCACTTTGAAAAGGTTTCACCACAATTAATTACTTGATCAACCAACGCAAGAAAATATCTTTGATGGGTTGATTTTATTTTTTTTATTCTCTCACAAAGACATCCTGAAGAAAGAGATGATGGGTCTTTTATGGCAAAAAAAATCACATTTTTGAAAGTAAATTCCCTGCTGGAACACTTTTGACCAAAATTAGAAAGTATTCATCTTCACACTGTTCTTTAACTTAGTCCTTCATTACTTAACAAGCAATTAACTTCTTTATTCTTCCTTCCCAGCATTGAAAAATCTTAAATTAATTTTTTTATATAGAAAAAGAAATCTAAAATTCAATGTAGGAAATTTTTAGTTAAAATTTGTGTATCATGTAAAGACAAAAGTCTAAACCCGAAGAATTTTGCATGTAACTGAATGAAGATTAATTGTTAGAGGGATAACAGGCAAAAGCTGAACACATGCTGGATGGTAAAAATAGGGCACTTGAATTTATGTTCTTTTACATTAAAAAATATTATATTGAACTATTTCATGATTTCCCAGTCTAATAGTGTTTTGAATATCTGGGTCAGCATGCAGGTCCTGTCTAGGTTTGCTTTGCTAAAGACCCTATGTACCGAAAGACTATTCCAAGAAGAAAATTGGAATCTATCTTTTAAAATACCTGCCCTGCACTATATTTATTGATCACTAAGCTCCTTTTTCATCGCATAATTATCAAATCATGATAAAGCCACCAAAATATCATCAGAATCATTATACAGGATAATAGTTTAAATGTATCACAGACATGCAATATTACAGTTCAAGAGAATAATAATGAAACTAGTCTCATGCACATTGCAAAACGAAGTTAGTCACTCCATATATATAATAACTCAAGCTTACAATATATATAGATTATAAGACATCCTCTCCAAAAAAAAAAAAAGAAAGAAAGAAAAAATAAAGCTGAAATTAACAGTCCAATTATAGATACAGGTCTTTCTTTTGGAGCAAATCTTAAGGTCATTATTTGAATATATAGAAGAGAGCCTCCAAAGAAGCTTCTTAAACCGATTATTCTATCATAATTCATTCAATATTCAACTACAAAGTAGCCTAAAAAGCATTGTAAAACAGCTTAGTGACCTGCAGGTGATCCTAAATCTTCCAACAACTAGCCCTCATGATTTCCTTAGCCGATGCCTATCATGTAGTGGCAGCCACTGTCCCATTATATGTGACCATGATACTGGCCTACATCGCTGTGAAGTGGTGGAAGATCTTCACACCGGATCAATGTTCAGGCATAAACAAATTTGTGGCAAAGTTCTCTGTCCCACTTTTGTCATTTCAAATAATTTCTTCCAACAACATCTACAAAATGAGCCTCAAACTCATACTTGCCGACTTTGTTCAGAAATTGCTTGCATTTCTACTCTTAATAGCAATCATTAAGATCAGTGCCCGAGGAGGTTTAAAGTGGATCATAACTGGTTTGTCATTAACAACACTTCCTAACACTTTGATTCTGGGGATCCCTCTGATAAAGGCTATGTATAAGGGTGAAACAGTTGTTCTTCTAGCACAGATTATTTTCTTGCAAAGCATGATGTGGTACAATTTGCTATTGTTCCTTCATGAACTTGATGCAGCCAAGACCAGGCCTGCTGCACCATCGTCACAAGGCACAGGTAACTATTATAATTGGTTAATTTTCGTTGTAAGGAATGAGATTTAAGGAATAGTTGACATATAGAAGTAAAATAATGAAGTGAAAAATGACAATATCTATAGCTTGACCAAATACATAAAAATTTAGATATATCCCTCATTTTCATTTTTCTTCTTGCCATTTTCTTTTAACAAGCACACTCTAAGGCCAAAATTGATATCGATGCATTAGAGATTTGACATACTCTACTAATTTTAACATTTGATAAAAAATCATGTTCACCCAAATACAGTAATCTAATTAAGACAATCAAAGTGGGGTTGGAGAACACGTACTATTTTAACGGTCTCTTCGTTTGTATGTGATACTTTTCTCTCATCCTCAGTTAGATGCTCTTTGAATATTTACTCCTTTAGTCCTCTATAACACCGTTTTGTTAACAAGTTATGTATGTCATAGTTCTTCAGTATAGTATTAGTTAAACTAATGCCTGTATCTTGTCATGCCTATGCTTCGTATTAGCAACTAGCACAAGATTTAGATTCAAGTTGTCAAACAAAACAGCCCGAAATTTGGAAAAGGTGTCAAGTCTTTTTCTTTTTCTTTTTTCTGATTCAGCTCTTGATGTATGTTTAAAGGAGAAACGGGGACAGCACGGGAATTACAATCAAATGAAGAAGAAGATGCAGAAGCAGAACCTAGAACAAAAAGGAAAATGAAGATCGTGCCCATTCTTGTCACAGTGGGAAAGAAGCTAATCAGAAATCCTAATACCTATGCAACTTTAACAGGTTTTATTTGGTCAAGCATACAGTTCAGGTAGGCACAAAATTAATTAAATGTTCACTCCATTCAAGGATCAGTCCAAGAGATCATTGTATTTAGTTTCTTGATCTTAATAAGGAGATAATTAGGTTAACCTGTTGTAGGTGGGGACTACATATGCCTGAAGTGGTTAATCAGTCAATAGAATTATTGTCCAATGGAGGTCTTGGTATGGCAATGTTCAGCTTAGGTAAGAGAGAAATGATCCATGTGGTTTCTCATTAATATGAACTTATGAAATAAATAACAACCCAATTGTTAGAATTGCATTAAAAGTTTTTTATATGTATATGCATTTCTTGGTCGACATTTATATAGGTCTGTTTATGGCATCTCAGTCCAGAATCATAGCATGTGGGCCAAGGATAGCAATGGTTGCAATAGGACTGAAAATTTTGATCGGACCTGCCCTAATGGCTGTGGCTTCCCTTGTCATTGGATTAAGAGACACATTGTTTAAAGTTGCAATCGTTCAGGTATTTTTTTGGTTAAATATTGATTAAAAATATATATAAAAATAAAAAAAATGTGTTTTTTATATGATTTTTAATAAAAATAAATAAATAATTCCTTTTTGTTCTTTAACTTGTGTTCTCAAAACCTTTTTTTTCTTTCATTCTACTTTTCAGATCATTTAAAGGTAAATAGTATATATGATTTTGCATGTGGCAGGCAGCTCTACCCCAAGGAATTGTGCCTTTTGTTTTTGCCAAAGAGTATAATGTCCATCCAGCCGTTTTAAGCACTGCGTGAGTACTACTGTACTGTCTAAGCATCTCTTTGATAACACACACACACACATATTGCTTGAGATTTGATGTTGTTCTTATTTTTCATTACAGGATCTTGTTAGGAATGCTCATTGCCTTGCCAGTGGAATTGGTTTTCTACTTCCTATTAGCAATATGAAGTGCTGTGTTAAATATATGCTACAAACTATAATAAGCAACGTTACATTGCTTTAAAATAATAATTTGTGAGTATATTTACAGTATTGATTCATTGTAACAACATGAGATGACCCAAAAATAAAAGAAGAACTGCGATCACCATAATTGTGAATTTGTGTTGTGTATTAAAGTAGTGAGATTGTGGCTTAAGCTAAAAGGCAAGAGTAATTTTAATATTTTAAATAAGAATAATTTTTCTTTATTGATCCATGAATATTGCGGTTATTTTGTAAAGGTAGTTCGAAGAGTACCGTTTTTTTAACCTTGGGATATATACTGGTTATTGTGAAAACATACAATAGCTAGTTTAGATACGATTTTGGTTTAATAGAATATATAAATTTTGACATTGAAAACTTAATTTGGAGTTTTACAAAATATGTGTAGGAAAACGTTCGGTAAAGCATATATTGATAGGTTTGGATTATGACGCGTTATGTATAGTTAATAACAGTTTTATTTGGATAATTGTTTATAAGATAAGGAAATAAAAAGATAAAATGTTTAAAGTTCTTATAAGTTAAAATTAACTTATATATCACAAATTTTGAAATAAATAAATAAATTATCTTTTAAAAAATATATAAGTTAATTTTGACTTATAAAAAAAATTGGTTCATTTTACTTCACATATTTTTCCTATATATACTTATTAAATAAACTATTCAAACGAAGTCATTTAAACTTAATCAAACATATTTTTTTCTTTTCTTTTTTATTAAAAATAAAAACAGAAAATGAGTAACTTTAAATTTTGGCGTGCAGGAACAAATATTTTTATACTCTCAAAAAATAAAGAAAATATATCCTATTGCCTTGTTTTTTAATCCTTTTGGTAATAACATACTAGGAAGTAATTTTGAGGGAGTGATTGCTACCATATAATGTATGAGTACCAAAATTCAAATCAACGTAATAAAGAATAACTAAATGAGGACTCTCAAAACTTGGACGAACTTTTAGCTAGGAATAGATGCAAGAATTGTTCCAAAATTTTAGCATGTAAATGGACTATGGTGGCTTTATTATATAAGGTACTATTATTGTTAATTAAGTAGAAACATGTTGATGTTGAAACAAATACACGCACTTATTAACCTACTAGTGTTTTTAGGTTGAAAATGATGTGTTGTAGCATTAAGTTATAGTTGAATTACGCTCTTGAATATTTACCGTGATGAAATTATAGTAAAATGATGTAAATTCTTAACAAAATGTTAAAATGATCATACGTCGTCTTCTTTATCTCTTCAATTGAGAAATATATTAATTAGTAAAAATATTTTTCAAATGGCATTATGGCAACACTCCCTCTTAGTTGCTAACCCTTTTTTTTTATCTGAAAGGATAAAGAAAAGACAAAAGATTATTCATAGGCATCTTTGAGATGTAATTTGGATAAATTTTAGTTATATAAAGTTATGGTTCTATCTATATCAAAGCTATAAAAGGAATTATTGTAATTCGATTAACTAAGTGCAATATTATATGCACAGGTTCGTTGATTATGTTTTGAAGATAATTTGAACGTAATGTGAAATGATATCACACCGTTACCGAGCTACATATTAAAGAATCCCTTAAGAACCCCTAAAAATAATAACGAAAAGACACATTGATATACGTGCTGCAAAGTTTAAGAACTTTTAAGTAAACCTATACATTAATTTATATTTTGGAAGTTTATATTAGATATTCAATTAATTTGAATATATACAAATTAGTAAGAGGACTACAACAATTGTTTAGGGGATAAAATTTCACCAAAATGAAGTTAAAATCTGTGCGGCCTTATATTTGTTACCTGGTCTTTTCCATAAATTCTTATATTAGATGTATAAATTCATCAAATATGTATCTTTGTTATACTCTGAGTATTTGAGGCATTATAATTAGTGAAGATTTTTTTTGTTAATAACAAGTATTTATCCTTAATCAGAATACTTTGTTTCCAATAAAGTATTTAAGTTGGTTGAGTCCAAATAACATTTTAGAAAATAAAAAATTCATGTATATAATATTAATGTCATCCACCTAAGTCTTATTTGAACAAATTTTTTAATAAATACTTATAAGAGTACAACATTAAATAATAAAATAAATCAAACTTCATCGTAAGTTTAAATTAACTTGCATTTCTTTATGTTTCTAGGATTTTTTTTTATTTTTTATTTTTAATGTTATGCTTCACTTTAAGCATGTGAAACTTTTAAAAAGTCTAAGAAAGTTGTCAAGTAGGTTGTAAAAATGTGAAAGATGACCCACGATCCACACCAAATAAGTAGCTAAGAATGTCAAAGATAAATGATGGATTTAGATCATAAATGGTGGTTGAAGGTGTTGAGATGAGTATGCTAAATCAAGAGTACGTGAACCTTTTATACCGATAATGGACCCTAAATCATTAAAAAGGAGCCCAGGCTACAAAATATGCACAACTTATTAGGCCCTGCTTGTTAGAAATAGACAAAATCTTCTAAGAGAAGCTCTATCAGCTTTAGATAAAATAAATAAATAAATAAATCTCTGTGGGCTTAATTTTGACGCTGCCGTATAGAAGGTCCAATAGTTGAAGTGAATCTTAAGTAAAAACTGATAGAGAATTCAGTTTATTTCTATAGCAAAATAGTGAATATTAAGTAAAAACTATGGCAACATATGCAATATAATAGAATATGACAGATACGAAGGAATGATAGTTTATCAAGATTCATTCTACATTATATATAACAGTTTAGGCCATTAAAACAAGGCATGTAGAAGTATGAGATAGTTCACTAAATTTAAGAGATTATAGCAAAATTGAGTTTTAATACAAAGACCATATTATAAAATCATAACACGTTATTATATGTAGACAATTCCATATATTACCACTATGTGCTCAACATATTATAAAATAAATGAATAATTACCTTCAAACAAATGACATAAGTTGCTTAACATAGAACAGAAGTGCTAAAAAGCTTAATCAACTTCAAGAAGCACAAGGGGAATTTAAATCACTCTACTAAGATCTCATGATCAAACATGGAGTGTGTTAGAAAGAAAATACTTAAAACCAACCCAAATATTGCTATTAGTCACAAAAAAGCAACTACCATCACCTTTAATTTTGAATTTGAAATAGAAATGACCAAATTAAAACTAAAAATCACAAACATTAAAAATAATTTATTTTTATTTTTTTAGTTTATTATAGTATCCGTAAACTTAAAAGAATATTGTATATCTTATTTATATTGATAATTGTAATACTTCTAATATTTTAAATATTAAAAGCATTTATATATATTTTAAATAAATCATTGATTTCATTATTTATTGATATAAAATTAATAGTGATAATTATCTCACGTGTAAGATAATATAAAATATCTATTTTAATTTATAAGATAATATAACAATTACTTTTATATTTTTATAATTAAATATCTTTAAAAAATATTTTAATTAATTATTAAACCTTATTAATCTTTTAAATAAACACTTTGAAGTTAAATTTTATTTGGGTTAATTCTTATTTTTTTTTATCTCTTTAGTCCATGTTACCTTCTATAAATTAATTTTTGATTAGATTATTAAAAAAAATTAATCACCATGTGAACCACGTTACTGTTTTTTTTCCTTTCAATTAATTCAATCTACCTTTTTATTTTTAAGACAACATTTTGCAGTAATAATATAAGTCACATTAAATACTAATAATTTATGGAAAGCTAATTTTATCCATGAAGGAATTTCCACATAATATTACATATATTTAATATTGATATAATACACAGTAAAGGAAGATGATTAATTAATATGTAAAGGAATTTTCATTGTGAAAAAAAAATCACAAAGGAAAACGACAGCATTTGTTTATCAAACGGTGGAGAATAATTTTCAAATTTCGTGAGCAAGGATAAAAAAAAAAAAAAACTGTCCGAAAAGAAAGGTGAAATTAGGGTTTGAGGTATTTATTTAATTGGCGAAAGACAGTGTTTGGGTTTCACAGACAGGCTCAACTCTTCTCTCTGAAAAATTTTCGAGATCCCCATTTTCGCCGAAACAAGCCATGGCTAAGGGTCCTGGTCTCTACTCTGACATCGGCAAAAAAGCTAGGGGTATTCTCTTTCTTTCTCTATGCTTGTGGTGTTGAAATTCTAAATTCTGATTTTTTATTTTTTATTTTTGGGTAGGTGGGATTTTTTCTTTCACTATCCAAAATTGATGCTTTTTGATGAATCTTTTAATGGGTTTTGGTTTGTTTGGTGTAGATCTGCTGTTCAAGGACTACCACAGTGACCAGAAGTTCACCATCACCACCTACTCACCCACTGGAGTGGTGAGTTCTTTTGTTCATTTCAATTTTTGTGGCACGAACACAATGCATGGCATGAATATTCGTTTCGCATTGTTCTATTTAACTTCTGTTCACAATAATGTTGGTGGAATCAAGGAGCTAGTTTAAGAAAAGTGAATGATTTTGTTGGATGAAATATGTGCTCTCTGTATATCTTGACTGTGAGAAAAACTCTGCGACATTGATTTTAAAAAAAGGGTACGATTATGACAATATATATTTTTGCTTTCTGGGTCTTCATTCAACCGCACAATGTTGGCTTTGCTTAATTATACCACAAAATGAGCTTTTTAGCCGGTAGTTCTATCAGCAGCATTCTGATTGTAAGCTGTTTTGAACAAAGAGAGAACGAATCCAAATAAACGTATCCTGTTAATTAAAAATGAAGAAAATAGTCCTTGATTATTGTTTTGTTTTGGATTTTCACTTTTTACTCATTGTTTTATTTTCTGTCGTTTTAAATTTCCCCATTTACTGGTTTGGTTGCACTTTTCTGAGAGCTTTATTTTCAGTTTTCACTATATATTTCCCTTAGCTTCATGAATCATGATGAGAATAATATAAATGTAGCAATTGAATTTGTATCAATACATATTATACTATCAACTACA